TGCCCTCTTCTGACTTTTTTCTAGTTCCCTGTCTAGAACATGTAATGCTAATTACTCTTGCCTTTACTTCTCCTTCACATGTCCTGTTCATGATTCAAGGACTTTCTTTTCCTGCTACATGAGTTATGCAATTTGGGAGTCTTTTAGATAGACCCACTGAAGGGGTACTCTAATTGCCTCACCCTGCGTCCCTGTTGAGCGTGGAAGAAGCCAGAGCAATATGTGTCCCTATTCCCTGTTGGTAACCTCTTCAGAGGATGGTGTGATAAGAATAGGCGATAGGATTTGGCTATGCATTAGGGTAAAAATGCCCCCCTCAAAAAATAATCAGTTTCTTTGGCTAAAACTCACAATGTTCTTGGGCCTCTGAGCAGCATACTCCATTCCAAAGGCCAAAAATGTCAAAAATACTTGGGAGCTTTGATATAATCCTTAAAAGATTTTAGGGTTACCTCTTCTGAGAGGGAGAAGTTGGAGGGGAGGGGGCAGGCATGGATTTGATCGAAACACCTTATGTGCATGTATGAAATTCTCAATAAGTTATTTATTTAAAAAAAAAGATATCAATTACTCCAGGCACAGTGGCACACAGCTTTAGTCCCAGCATTAGGGAGGCAGAGGCAGAGGCAGGAGGATTTCTGTGGGACTAAGGCCAGCCTGGTCTACATAGTGTGTTCCAGGCCAGCTGTGTCTACAGGGAGTCCCTGTCTCATAAAGACCAAAAAGAAAAATATCAACTGTATTGATTACTTCAAATAAATCTATACTATGTCACAATCCTAATCAAAATCCTAATAGGTTTTTTGGTAGAAACTGACAAATTGGTTCATAAATATTATATATGGAATTTCAAAGCAGCCAGATTCACCAAAATAAATTTGGAGGGAAAAACGATACAGTTGAAAGCCTCCCACTTCCTGTGCTTAACGTTATAAAGAGACAATAACAGGGAGGTGTCAAACTGGATCTCACACTTACTTTTGGAAAGATATCAATAAGAAAATGAAAAGACAGATCACAGCTGCAGAAAATACCTGTAAAACAAGTGACTAGCAAAGTTCCCACCCTCCGAATATAAAGAAGCCTGTAACTCATTCAGAAAAGAAGTCGATTTTAAAACGGTCACATTCACCAATGGAAGCACACGTGGCAGGAAAGCACATGCTATCTGCTCAGCGTCGTCAGAGATGACTAATGCCTATTAGAATGGCTGAAATTTAGAAAACTAATGAAACAAAATGTGGAGGAAATGTGATTAGCACACACTGCTGATGGGAACTTTATAGTGGAATAATCACTCAAGAAGAGTATGGCAGTTTCCACAGCACACGTATATTATCATATAGACCCAGAAATTCCACTCTCAGTTATTTACCCAAAAGAAAATAAAACACCAGCCTACACACAACCTGTACAGGAATGCTTAGCTCATGGTCATTTTACTCATAACTGCCAAAAACAAATGTCCTGGGGCTGGAGAGATGACTCATTGGTTAAGAATGCTTGCTGCTCTTTCAGAGGATCCAAGTTCAGTTCCCAGCACCCACATGGTGACTGAGGTGAGGATCCCCACAACCACTTCTAACTTAAGCTCCAGGGGATACAATGCCCTCTACTGGCCTCTGAGGGCTCCTGAACACACAGCATGGGCACACACATATACATACAAGCTATAAAAATTTTTTGAAAATGTCCAAAACAGGCGAACAGAAAAAAATTGGTAGCTTTCAACAAAATACTACCCAGTAATAAGAAAGAATGACTAATAATCCAAAGTACCCTAATAAGTGAATGAAACAGATGTGAAAGAATTCAGGTCTCCTCATTCCATATGCATGATAATCCTGTGCATGTAACAGCACAGTGCAAAAATCACTGCCAGATGCTCAGGGCAAGAATGGGGGTGATGGCAGAGGGAGAGGAAAGGACGTAGTGATGAAAACATGTTCTGGAACTTCATGGCTACAGGACATGCCTGTGTCAAAGCACTTCAGAATATACATTTTTCAAGAGTGAGTTTACTGTTTATAAATTATAA